CCTGAGTCGCACCGCCACCATAGCGTCTTGGCCATGGGCTTTAGATTGGACCTTCTTCGCATTCGCGTAATCGCCGTGTTGAGGTACGGGTTTGATTGGAATAACGACGGATAGTTGGCTCGATGTAGGAGGACGATTCTGCTCAAAAGAGGCTGACAAAGATGCCGAGTTCGATTTGTTCGCAACGTATGCGCGCTGATTCAATGAAGCAGCTGTCTTCGGTGTGATGTCTTTATTTTCGGGTTTTGTCTTTGAGGGTGCTTCGGGATCTGCGGTCGTCAGTTAATTGACTATGTACAAACGTCCGTGGTATCTTAGGGCTTACATCTGAATGCAATGTCCGTAGAGTTAAGCATCATACGTGCGAAGGAACCAAGGCTGTTGGGACCGGAAGTCACACCGTCAGGATCGTTTGGGCGCAACTGTTGACTTCGTGTAGGAACCCGAGGAAGCTTGAATTTGCTATGGAATCCAAATGAGTTAAATGCGCTTCAAAGACTTCAAGTTTCCTTACAATTCTGTTAGCTGGTCTCCATCCAGCAACTGTTGGATATATTCTCGAGACGTTTCTAAACGACTAGACTCGTCCGGTCCAGATTGCATTTCCGTGTCAAGTTCACCCAGTGTTTTGCGGCCTTCTTGGAGGACATGGTTTATAGAAGTGGTATTTGAAGGTCGACCAACATCGGGGCGTAGGATACAGTCTGTGCATACAAGCTGTCAGTAAATTGAGCAGAATTGAAGAGATAAAGAGAACAGACGAACCGAGACCAAATACAGGCGCGCTGGACATGGATGAGTACTGTAGTGCTTCATCCACAGATAGCGGCCTTTGATTCTGAAACTGCATATTGGAGCCATATGGTGGCATTTGATCATGGCCGTTGACGACCACCTGGATGGCCGGTCGTCCATTTTGGTCCATGGTCGCGGTTAAGTCAAAAGAAGTAGGCGCGTGTCACAAGGTTGACATGCTCCTGGTAGAGACATGGCAAAGAAGACAGGCGCCTTATGACATCCCTAGATCATTTAAATAATGAAAAACCAGAAATCTGAAAGAAAATAAGCTGAGCTACGATCAAATGCGTTCATGAATTCCGCATGGGTGACGGCACCCCTACTGCCGCCTGTGACCGCCTATATGGGGGCTCGTGCGTCAAAAAAAAGTTGCATAGATTATTCGCTGCATAAGGCCTGATTCGTTGTCACTTTGCTTGCACCCTTGATCTTCTGCAGCTTCCAGATTGTGAAGTTCATTTAACACTCGTCAACATGTCTGCCATCGGTTCCTTGATTTTCTGCACAGATTGCGGTAATCTCCTACGAGAATCTACCGGCAATGCGGATGCGATTCTGCACTGTGATGTCTGCGGCACTCGGAATAAAGGTGGGTGAATAAAAACCTTTTGTCGTTTTTGCCAGGCTGCTAGGTGATTCATTGCTAACTACTATTTGCAGATACAATCCCTCAAACAACCGTGTCCGAGTCCAAGCCCTCCGCATTCCCCTCAGCACTGAGAGCCAAACGATCGGCAGTCCAGACCCTGTCAGCAGAGGACCGGAAGACTGAGGCTATCATCGATCGTACATGCAACGACTGCGGGAGGAAGCAGATGTTCTACACTACAGTGCAACTGCGCAGTGCCGATGAAGGAAGTACCGTGTTCTACAGATGTGTCTGCGGTTTCAAGTATGCCCACCCCTCAAAAGCATGCCCAACAAATACTGATTATTTTGACAGGGAAACCTCCAACAATTAATCTTGGAAACACCGATATTGTACAAAAGATGTGGGGAAAGTCTATTTTTGGAGAAAGGCTGTATAACTAGCGGGATAAGAGTATTAAAATCACGACCGTCACGAGACAATTTTCTTTTTTTGCAGGACATCCATCATGCAGCAACGGGTGCAGCACTATCTGGGATCAGCGCATATTGGGTTTCGCCATTCTTCTCAAACTCTGCCATGTCAAGAGCAACAATGACACTGTCCCTGACCACCTGATCGGGGTCATTCAAGAATTTCTTCAAGGTCTCCTCCACACCCTCCTCCTCGCCCAGGCTGCCAAGGGCCTCCGCCGCTTCGTGTCGCACCATTCCTACTTCAGACAGGTCACTCAGCGAGGCTGTGAGACTAGGGATTGAGGCAGGGTGGCAGAGTTGTCCGAACACAAAGGCAACCTCATGACGGAAGAGAGCAGAGGGGTCTTTGAGGCCCTTGGCCAGCGCATTGACGGCATCAACTGCTGTGGGAAGATCTGGGGGCGAGGCAAGGTCGCGCAGACCGAACATTGCACGGTATCTTTGAAACAAAGGGAGCTTTGTGTCAAGCAGTGTCTTTTCCAGGTCAGGAATGCAGGGTTCGGCGCTGGCCTCTAGGGGCATGGGTGGAGCAGGGTCGATAGAGGTGAAATCACTGTAAATCAAAAGATCTCAATGTCAACATTTCTCTTCATGGTATATAATCTCCCGCAGATCGTACCTAGGCTTCAATTTCTCGGCCTTGCGCTCTTCTGAGTTCTCCCACAGGATTCGGTCGACAGCAATGTCGCAAGTCTCCCGAATAATATCCAGTTCCTTTGTATCATCCCTCAATTTCTTGAGGATGTCCAAGCTATCGGCGTATCCAAGAGCGCCCAGCGCCTCGGCAGCCTCATGGCGACACATCGCATCCTCCTCGGCATCCTTCACCACATGTTGCAGGTATGCGACAGATTCGAAGTTTTTGGTTTGGCCGAGGCAGTAGGCAAGCTCATGCTTGAGCAGAGCTGAGGGTGACGCGAAACCTGCGGCGATCGCTTCGATGGCGGGGAGGGTCTGGTCTGTGGTGGGTTGTAGGCAGGCCAGGTGCTTAAGGGAGAAAAGAGCGCGGAAGCGGCGAGCAAGCGGCTCAGATTCTGAGACTAAAACCTTGCGGAGAGTAGGAACGGTTTTATCTGTTTCGGAGGCCATTTTGAGGGGTGTAGTCCGACGGGGAGTATAGAGGTGGAAAAGAAAAGTTGTTAATCTTTTTGATCTTATCAATTTTTAGAGTGGGGGGTGGGGCCCATTCAGACTTTCGCTGCGCATGGGTTTTTGCTCGTACGTTATTGTCTTGAATGCTTCCGGTGTAAGCCTAAGCCATAATTTATTGCTAATTGCGTTAAACTGCCCAGGTATCCTTACCGTTTATAATCATGTATTGTTGTAGATTTAAGGATTGAGTATGCGGGATCTAGGAGGTGGGAGCGCTGATCTTAAGGATATATATAATTTTTTCCTTGCTGGCTGTACAGATCTTCCACATGTAAATTCCATTGAGATCCTTGAGCATTGAAACAAGAATTTACCGAAGAACTAAATAAATATTCTCACACTTCCTATATACATATCGCAAGACATCTACTACCGGAATAAAAGCTTGAATGGCTCAATTCGAAGCACCACAGAACTAAAGCTAGCCCTTACTTTATAACCATTAGGATATTCTTGCTCGTATGCCCTATTATCACGCAGTGACCCCGATGGCTGTATGATGCTATATATATAGAAAGCGCGTCGGCATCCAAGCACAGCTGTTTTGGGGAATACCGGACAGTTGGAGCTACAAGCATTTTGACAGACTTTCCTAGGCAACCTTTTTCAAAGCCATAAAATAAAACTAAAAACCAAGCCAGCCAAGTAATGATCTTGTACTATGTAGACCCTCATCTACGCTCAGTTCACAGTACAATGCTACTGGCCTGGGAACCGATTTCTTGACTGAAAACCCTATATTGTACATCGAGGAACCTCCACTCTAGTTCTATACTCCCACGGACTTGAGTTGTTGGTATTTCAATAAAGTTTAAGATGCTGTATCGCTGGTATTATGAGCATACAGTTAGCAAAGAGGGCCGTGATGCCGGTTAGTTATATCCAAGACGGACATGTTGATTTGAACATTAAATTTTACAAAAGCGACACGAGGGATATACATGTGCAGACGTTTCAAAAAAAAAAAGAAAATTAATATGTCACCACACAGAAGCAGAATTGATATCGTTCCCTTCCTTTACCTCCTGGTAGTTGAAGGGGAGCTGACTGGTAGCTGTTAACCCTAACTAATGACATCTAGAGATGACCTATATTAGAATGCGATATATCGAAGTGCTTGAAATTTAGTTCGAGTGGTAAACTGGTAAATATGTACATAATACAGCGCGAAGTCAAATCATTTGGTCTTGATATGTCTGAGCTTCTTGGGCTCGTGAACGAAGTTGTTGGCGTAGGACTTGGGCACGAAGCGGCGCTCGTTCGGTTCCTGGACGAAGTATTCGTAGCCCTGCTTCTGGGCAAAAGCGATTGCGTCTTCCTTCGACTTGAACGTCAGGTTGGTGCCTTGCATGCTATCGGCAGACGACTGCCAGCCCATGAGCGAGTTCTCCCAACGGTGACCCCGCTGCAAGATATCCCAATCCATGCGCCAGTGGTGCTGGTGCCAGGTACCGGACTGTGTTGCGGCCTTGGTAGGGCGGTAGATACTGTGGGAGTCATGGGTTAGTGTGCGGGAGCTAGGCGATACGGCTCGAAATTTGTATAACGTACCGGACATTGCGGGCCTGGAGATCGGTAGGGGCTCCAGAGAGAACGGCCGCAGGAAGAGTGTCGCCAGGCTCGCTACCATCCATCACGCGCTTGGGCACAGGGGAAAATTGCCTTAATTGAAGCCAAAGAGTTAGTGAAAAGATCTGCGATGGAACTAAAGGGGAATGTCGTACGAGGTGCCGTGGTCAATGGTGGCCTCATAATCCGGCTGGTGACGGGCCATAGCCTCGGAGGGGGTCTCCTTGGTGATCAAGGAGCTGTCCTTGGGAGGCGTGGTGGGAGCATCCGAGGTGCTGGTCTTCACGGAAGGATCGCCCTTGGGGGCCTTGAAAGAGACGAAACGGGCGTTAACAGGCGCAGAAAATCGGCTGACCCGAAGGCTAGCAGCACCCCCAATTCTGAACAGTGACATTGTGTCTTTTTGGATGCGGGGAATGGTCGTTGCCAGTGAGGACTCCCTTCAAGTGTGGTTTGGTTGCGAATTACAGGCAGGTCACGACACCACCGAATCGGGTTTAGCCGGGCTTGGCAAGCCGAACACCCGCAGGGCTCGGTTTGTTCCTCCTTCCTCCTCCATCAGCTTTCTTTGGTTCACTTGCGCTGCGAATCAACGTAAGTCCACGTCTCTACCACCCTGCAAATGCTCATTGAGAGCCGCTCTATTCAGTGCGACCAATTTCTGACCCCCTTCAGCCTAGACAAGATGAGCTACATTGCCCGCCGAGGTCTCTCGACCTTGATCCCCCCCCAAGGTAAGAGCACCCCCATTCATGACTACTCATAGTCATTCGATCATTCGACTCCTCAAATGATGCTAATTGTTCCTCCAGGTCGCCTCCCCTAACGTGAGTTATCCACGCGCTGCCACCTTCGACTTAATGCATCCCTTCCACACCCGTCCCGCCCCGAAGCCGTTTTTCGTGAAGCCCGCGATTTGATCAAAATGCCGCTTTTCTTTCGCCTTCATAACTGACATATTCTCAATCAAGGCCATCGGTGCCGCCCAGGATGCCGCCCGCATGGAGCGTGTTGTGACCTTCTACGCTGGCCTTCCCCGTGGCCCTGCCGCTGCTGTCAAGCCTACCGGCCTCATCGGTCGCTACCAGGCCCGCTACTTCAACGGCAAGAACGCCTCCGGTGTTCGTACGTATTTATCATTTGTCCCCTTGTATTGATATAAGTACTGATTTTGATGCAGCCCTTATCCACGCTATTGGCGGTATCCTGATCCTGGGTTACAGCATGGAATATTACTTCCACCTGCGTATGTATTCTCCAGCTATCAAACTGCTTATATACCCTCTTTATAGTTGGAACATCACTGACTTGATGTTTTTGACTAGGTCACCACAAGAACCACCCCCACTAAGCTTTCCCTTTCCATCGAATGGGTGGAGGATTGATGTATGTACTGGATCCTCTGTCCTAGTGCAAGGGAAGGATGTGGTTTTAGCGAGAACTTTGGAATCTCACTGTGTTTCAATATTCAGATTTACTATCCTTTGTCATTTTGTCGTAGTTGCCGTAGATTTGGAAGTATACATATTACGTAGAAGTTTGAGTGACGGGCTCTTTCCATAGTTTTTCATCGCATGCAAACTTTACACCAGATATTAAGAAATCCCTGGGAATTTACCACTTGCAAGCAACGTCAGTATCCAACAAGATTACCGTTTAAACTGAACAAAACGTCAAAAAACTAGGGCTTTCGAAGAAGATCCAAGGCGTGTGGGCAGACCTCACAACTTTTGTACGGGCCACGCTAAACCGAAAACAGCGACCCTCAGCTTCAACCCGAGTTGACACTTGAATCTCGTATCATCCCTCCCTATCTTTGTATCATCAACCGTCCTTACGCATACTCCCTCCCTCTTTGCCCTAATCCCTTTCTGGGACCTCTTGGGCTGCGGATTTCCCAAGACACACGCGCCTATCGATTCCGCGATCGTGCTCTCCACACCAAGCCCAACCTGACACCGGGCTTTCTCATCAACATCCCAGAGAGTTGGCCGATATTATCTCTGGTTGTGATATCCCATATATTCAGGGTGCAACCAGTCAAGGAACCAGTGCAACTGTGGCGATCCTTGGTATCTGACGATAGGTATGTCTTCTTGGGAATCTGGCATGTTCGATCTGCAGATGCCTATTACGTCCCCGGACCTATTTCCCCACTGTCAGGGCACTTGGCTTACCTGGTCGCAATTATTGTATGGAACAGAATCGAGTATTGTTATGGCAGAGCAGAGCAACCGCGATGTGGTAGATCAGACCCTGTCGGGCGGCGAGCCTTCGCCTTCCGACGTTCCTGCGAGCACCAACGACAATCTATCTGCTGGAGGGGACGCAGGGAAGACCGAACATATCGCAATGACTACCGCTACATCGAAAAACTCAAACTTGAATGATCAGAAAAACCATGAGACAACGAACACTCTTGATTTACAGGGAGAAAAAGCCGCCGGCGACAAGGACGCTGGAGGCTCGACGACGGTGAGCATCGCTTCTGGATGCGCTCCAAAGCACTTGCTAATATGGGCGTAGGATACTTCTAAACAAGGCGCCGGAGTTGTTGCGACTCGAGTTCTTGAACTTAATGGACTGGCCTCGGCATCGGACGGCGGAGAGGATACAGCATCACAAGGTGGCTCGGAGTCGGATGCGAGCCGGCCAGATAGCAGGAACCAGACTCACAGTGGCTCAGTCAAAAAGCCAGCAGGATTCAAGCCAGTTTCATTTGCCAAGTTTTCGGTAAACAAGGTCCCGGGGGCTCCAACACCACCTAAGGTGCCTGAGAAAGGTATGTTCTTTGTCAAACACTTCCCATAGTTGGTTCTAACTTGCTCAGCGCCAACCTCTACCACAACACTTGGTACCCCACAGCCAAGCTCCCGACCGCGCTTGGTTGCGAAGACTACACTCGGCATGCGTGATTCATTTTCGAAGACTGGAGCAGGCGGAGGCAAGCCTGGTGGATCAGGGCCTGATCCAAATCAAGTGTGGAATAAGAACCGACGTATGTATTGGTCATGCGATGCAGTGGAATCATTTGAACTGACATTGATATCCGTGCAGCTGTTGTGCCCGCTCCTCCGAAACACTTGACCGATGAAGAACTGAAACAACAGTACGGAATTCATATGACTTCTCGTATTCAAGAAGATGGGGCTGTTAGCTCTGAAGCAAAGTGGGCGGATATTGATGACGATGAAGATGATTGGGCCCCTGAGACAATTGAGTGGACAGATGGAACTAAGGTCAATCTCACTCAACCTCACACTGAACCCCCGCTGGCTCCCACCCATCGGGAACCCAAAGAGCTACCACCCGTAGAGCCAAGCATCGTGAAGGAGCCTGTCAAGGTTGCGCCGAAGCCAGCTGTATCAATGGGGTCCCGTGCTATGGTACTCAAAGTTGGAGCGAACGCTGAAAGGCAAGCGAGAACTGCGAGTGCTTCTTCTAACGGCACAAATGACAAAGTTCCATCTAGCTCCACAAGCCCAGCACCGCCATCCAAGTCTCCTTGGGCCGCTCTGCCTCCTGTCGAAAGAGTGTCACCAGTCAATGCCCCGGTTCAGCCTCACCAACACCGCATGCCCATGAGATACCCCCAGAGAGATGATGGCCATCATGCCCCAATGGCAATGCCACCCAAGGAGATTGCAGCGGATGATTTCAACCGTGCATGGAAAGATCAGTCAGATTTGCCTCAGCTTTTCAATCCTCGATCTTCCCAGTACGAGCCGGTGGGCGAAACCAGGAGAGGATCTTGGCGTCATGACCAACACCCCCGTGCTCCTGCGGTTTTGCAGAGGCCAAACGATCACCCAAGTGGACCGGCAGAGCCATCTGCTGCATTCCAGACACACAGGTCTAGCCATCAGGACGGTATGGGCTGGGGTGGTCGTCGTCGCACATCATCAAACGTGAGCGGAGGAAGTGGAGGATTTGGCCGTAGGATGTCAGTTGGCCGATTTGATGCCCCTCCGAGATACAATGATGCTCGAAGAGGTTCCCAAGTGAACGGGCCGGGTGATTCAGCAATAGTGGGTCACGAGCAGCACCATGGCAAAGACGAAATTGCTCCGTCTGGTCCAAATGGTACAGCACGTCCAGCTGTTGATGTAGGTATGTCTACTGTGGAAACACAGACAGCGGTTCCTCAAGTTCCGCAAGAACCTCAGGAGGACCCTGTTGCTCTGCAAGAGCGTATTATGAAGGAGAAACGTCTAGAGGCGAGGCAACGAAGAATTGAGCAGGAGGAGAAAGAGGAAGCGGCTAAAAAGGAGAGGATTAGGCAACGTCTCGCGGCCATGGGTCCTGCGCCAGAGAAGAAAGCTCCCGAATCGCGCAACCCCCCTCTCTTCAACCTCAACCCCAACCTCACTCTCATCCTCACCCTCTTCATCCTCCCCAAACCCCTTCTCAACTTCCTATTCAACCCATCCACTCTATTTCTTCCCCGCCCAAGCCTCCTGTCCCAGAACCCAATCGGGAACCAAAACAGTATGGTATGATGAAAGTGCATCATCCCGACTCTGTCAAGAAACTCGTTGGTGCGCATGACCGGACGTCTGAGAGCAAACATCTCAACCGACGTGTCTCATCACCCCACCAAGAAACCCACCGTGACTCTGCACCTGCATCTGCCTCCCACTTCAAAACTGAACCTCACTCACCTGTCCAGAGCAAGGCAACTGATCCAAAGCTCGACGAGCACGGTACTCAGTGGCAAGGCAATTTGACTTCTACTTCACCGTGGTCTCATCCCAATATTGCTGTGCCCACTACATCCGCCAAAAATCTATGGAAACCATTTGGAAGTGACCGCACTCCAACCCTCGGTAACGGCATCTTTGACCAACCTCTGGGTACTTTTGCATCACGTGAAAACCCTCTAGGCCAACTCGGCTTGGAATCGTCAAATATGCCTACTCCTCCCAAGTTCTCTGCTCCTAAGGAGCCAACTGATTCTTTGCCGTCACCTGAGGCACGTCACCCCTCATTTGAATCCCTCAACCCAATCGGACGCCCCAGCCCAATCGGACCGCCGAGCACACGGAATGCTCGTGCCATTAACGAGTGGAATAACTTCCACGAGAATGCCTTGGAGAAGGAATCTCAGAACGCTAAGGAATTCCTGAAGCGACTTAATGACAGACAGAAGGGAGCCCCAGGCCCGCCACCTGCGCCTGTGGTTTTCACTGAAACCTGGAAAAAGACTCGTGCCACCGAGGACGGCCGACGAGTCGTCACCCGGGTCACCGAAAGGGTCATCAACAACGACGAAGACATCGCCAAGGCCAAGGCGGCCGCGAACCAGCAACCTAACCCTCTTACGAGTCTCGATACTCCTATGGATGGCCTCAACGTGTCTGACATCGGTGTTCGTCCAGCTGGCAATGTTTCTACTCGGAGCTCTCGATTCTTCCCCTCGGCATCTGAACAGTCGAAGCGCCAGGTCGCCGAGAAGGAGCGCAGCAGTCCTTCGCCTCCTCCTCCCGAGGAAGTTAGCCACCCTGCCTATTACGGAGACGCGAAGAACCCCCACGTTAATCTTCCGGCCCCTAAGCCTCCCAAGCCCGTTGTGAAGCTCCCTCCTAAGGCCATTGGTGCCCCGGCGCCCCCGCCAACATTTGCTTCTATGGCAGCTGCGCCACCGCGTAACGCGGTGCCTCCTTCTTCCACTGCGCTGTCGTGGCAGGACAAGATTAACGGTCTCTTCGGAAAGACCACTCCTACGCAGAAGAAGAGTGCCTTGGCTGTGGCATCAGCCACCAAGGAGCCTCTTCCTGTCCTTGCTGCCGCCGTCTCCGTCTCTATTCCCCAGACCAAGATTGGTTCCCAGACTGGCGATGGCGATTTCGCCGTTCGACAAGTCAATGAACAAGATGAGATGTTTGAAGACCGCGAACCCGGCTCTTTGCCTGCCGTCCGTGTGCCAAATATGGCGCCCCAAAATTCTTGGAGTGCAACTCGTCCATCAGAGCGATCCCGTGGCAAGAACTTCAAGCCGGTGCAAGCGCAGAGCATTCAGCCGTTCCTGGTTGGACACAATGATCGCGATAATCATGGCAATACTCGTGCTTCGATTTTGCTTCCAGGTGGCTCCGAACCCAAAACTGTTCTCATTCAACGCAAGGCTGGTCCGACTCGAGGCCGCAATACCAATACCAATGTCAGACCTCGCAAGGGAATCAACAACAAGTCTGGCGAAGTTTCTGGGGGAGGCAATAAGAAGCCTACCTCTAACACCGTCCCACGACAGCCACCCCGTCAGCGGTCGGGCTGGAGCCCAGAACCCCCTACTTCTCGTTAAGAAGTTTCGGTCTTGCAAGCATATGGTTTATCTCAAAGCGTTTTCGGTATTTTCTTTCTGGTTCCTCTTGCCTGGGAGGCGAGAACTTGGGGTCATTCTCGCCAACTCCTAATCAACATCTGTTTCCGACTCTTGTGACTTTTGTTGCCATTGCTCACTTCGTTGCTCTTTCCTGGAGTTGGGCCCACAATTCAGATCCTTCCTCCACCCCCTTCACGCATTCGCGTTTCTCATGTACTTGTGATTTTCGATTTCTCGCCTATTGTGTCTCCTCCCCCGACCCATTCAGGACTGTGGCCTTTCTTTTGGCTTTTTATGTGTGGATGACCATGGTCTCCCGATTCAAAGTCCTGTTTGCGCGATCATTGCCCGAGTGGTGCATGCTTGTTCCGACCTAGCAGTATCACATTGCCCCGTGTTGCTGAGTATTCAGTCAAATTCGCACCGATACTTACCAAGAGAATTCCATTATTACACAATTCCATGTTCTTTTTCTAGTGTAAACGTAACCTCCAGCTCTCAAGATAGCTAAAGAGGGTTGGCCTGCTGCTGTGTATCTCCATCTCCCAAACATGTATTCTCCGTCTACTACTTTCACAGATTGCTCAATCTCAAGCAAATCTATCCAGGAAGCGACAGCGTTGTCCATATCAAACTTTCACCCGTCAACTCCTCCGTCGAACCTCAACCATCTGCTCTCTAACAAGATGTTACGATCTCAGCCCGAGGATTTCATGGAAACTGCCCAACTGAAGGCGATGAGTCAGATCACGACCAAGAGCTCAACAAATGATTTGTTAAGGCCATGGGCTAACTGTATATTGGATTACAGGGGGGAAAAGCACGCATTCGAGACCATGACGAGAACCTGCGACCTGAACACGCCCCAGAGCCTGCATTTCGGCTGTTCTATTCCTTCGAACTCTCCGGCCCATAACACCGAATTACCATACCCATGAAGCCGTCGGACTCTTGGCTTGTACCACGCCCTTTACCGACTTCGGAAACAAATCCACCGAACTCGAGAGGCAGGTGTCGTCTGTTTAGAGCGAACCTGTAGCCCGACTACAATCAATGGCAGGGAGGGTCTTTGGACTCGCTGTCAAGCATTGCTGGCTATGGACATATCTATGGGGACAGCACCACCATATTCAAAGCCGCTGGACTGGCAAGAGCCACCGGGAGTTATGGAGCTTTCTTTGGGCGTTGGAGGGAAAGATTTATGCTATAGCTAAGATGGGATACTCGGCCTTGCTACGGGACTATCGCGGGATTTTCGGCGGTGATATGTAGTATCGCATGCTTTATACCCGAGCTAAGTATGGAGCTATGGGCTTCTTTGGTCGTAGGGTGTGGTCTTAAGCGTTCGGCGTCTTATTGGGCTGTTTTATATGGCTTGGATCGCATACTTAATGTGTAGTTGAGACGGATATGCAGGTAGAACTGGGAGCTCTTTTTATTTTATCGGAATTTAGGTAGATAATTTGCATGTTGTCAGTCTTATATCACGATGGCTTTACTCGACTCACATGGTCACATCGATAGAAGAGACAGAAAAGGTCATCGTCTATGACGATATGATTTTCCGAGTAATGAAATGCTTTTAATAAAAAAAAGGCTCAGAAGCACAAGTAGAAGATAGTCAAATAATGTACACAAGTGGTAGGTATCAACCGAGGAAAGCCCTTATAAGGCTCAAGATAAACGCCCCGTCCCTCGAATACGCCGCCGAGATCAACCGTAATGTCATAACAACTGAATCAACACAGACATGGTGGCATCTGTGATACCACAAGTCCGAAGGTTACCTATCGTGTCGACGTCCATAACGCCCCCAAAACCAAGCCCGAACATCCGTTAGATAACCACGCATATTTAAAAACTCGTAGCAAATTGAACAAAAAGAAAAGTGAGCAGAAAACCTCCCCTTACCAGTTCCAGGTCCGGCTGGAAGCAGCAAAGACAGGAGGTTTCCACTGGAGACGGGCAGGATCGATTTTGCGCGCGCCCTTGACCTCCTCCTTCTTGAGACGCTTTTCGTGCTCCTCCACGACGTGGTCCGTGAGAACAATGACCCAATTACCCTTCTGCAAAGAGAGTTAGTAAATCACACGGTATTGTATGGGCTGCAGTGCAGTGCACACGCGGGAAATTAGACTTACATGGTATCGGAGCATGTTGAATACAACCAGGGTCTCGTGAACATCCTTCTCAGTCATGGAAGTGAGCACCGCGAGCTCGTTCTCGCTCATAGCTTCTCGATTAGGCTCGATCAGCAACTCCACTAGCGTCTCGCGCCAGTACTGTCGATAACCGAGTAGACCCAGATCACTGAGTGGCTTCTCAGGGGAGCCGAGCTTGCCTTCGCGCTTGCTGAGCTCGTAGCTGAACGAGATGAGGAGACGGCCGAAACCGCGGCGCTGGTATTGCGGCAAAGTCATAATACATGCTAGGTTATACCCTTCCGCAGAGTCCTTCTCCTTGGAGAAGTAGCCGACGAAATGGCAGCCGGTCTCGTCGCGCGTGGTCATGCAGTAGAACAGGAACGGGTCGACGTCGTAGTAAAGCGTCTTGTGGTCGAGGAAGAGCTTACTCAGGAGACACAGGTTCCGGCACCAGGTGCGCTGGCGACGGCCGTCGACTTCAAAGAAGGAGATATAGTCGTCGCGGTAGATCTCGTTACCGGGAGGGTGGGTCAAGGTGCATTTTGCGCGATGACGCTCAAAGGCACGCTTGTTGTCGAAGTAGCTGAGACAGAACTCGTCGATGTAGACCAGGTCAACGTCCGAGAAGGAATCCGGGTATGGTGAGAAGTACCATGGCTCGACGTCGTACTTGCCCATCTGGAGACGGGTCAAGTTTCGCACGCGATGAATCTCCGTCGGGTTCTGTGTCATACTACCACCTGTGCGGAGGCGCTCGATTTCCTCCCCACGTGTAATCACCTCGCCTGTTGTCGTTTTGACTTGATCTTCTTTTAGCGATTTGCTTTCCGCTGCAGCGTCTGCCATCTCGAAGTCTTCTGACTCGGTGGCCTTCGGCGTGCCGACTGTTGACACGGCCTCAGATGGGAACAGCGAGGTGTCTCCTCCAGGTGTCTCGACACCGAAGTTTTCTTTCCCTCCAGCCTTCGAGGGCCGTGACAACTTGCCAACATTCACGTTCTTGCCGCCCAGGATATCGGGTGTTTGTGACAAATCGCGGCTGTCAGCTCGGGCACGCTTATTCACACCCACATTCTTGCTGGGCGCCGCTTTGCTGGCAGCAGCGGTCTTCTTCTTATCAGTCTTCTCTGGCTGGGGCCATTCAACTTCTTGGGAGAGATCGATGCGAGAAGACGCAACCCATTCTGGAAAAAGAAGTCAGATAAAGTTCAATGTGAACCAATGCACTCGTTGGGTGAGAACTTACCATCAAGACGCTTGTTGAAATCGACATAGTGTACACTGGGATCTATATCAGCACCAATTCAAAAAGCACAGACATGATATGAACAAAGGCAAACATACTAAAAGGAAGGGCCATCCTTCCGCTGTCTAATCGACAGAATCTCAGCTTTTCGTAGTTCTCCATCCTATACAGAATAGTCAGTATCAAAGCCAACATTGGGGGTTGGCCACGCTGATTGACAATCACGTGATATGACATGACCGCCAAAATCTGCGACCACAGGGTCAAAACGAACCTTTTGCACCATGGCCTTCACACCGATTCTATGAGGCCAGTTAGCATTTGCGACCGATAAAAGTGGACCTAAAAAGCCTAAGGCTAATTATTCCAGACATAAAAAGCGACATACCTGATGGTGTTGAGTGTGGCGAACCCCTTGTCAACGGGGTCGGGCGTCCCCGTCATCTCCCCATGGGAATCTCGGACGCCCATCTTGTTGGACTGGCAGTAGGGACTGAAGCAATATCAGAGATGGGAATGATGGAATCGAGCAGATACTGTGGTCATTTGGTGATGGGGAAATGATGCGGGAAAGGGAGCAAACTGGGAGGTTATTATGTAAGCTGTTCCGCATCGGGGTCCCGAATCTATACAGAACTTGATATACATTTTCGTGCCGAAGATTCAAAGAGTATATTACAAGACGGAAGGTAAACGTTTTCATTGCTTGAACAAATCCAAATGATAAATGCCATAAACACCGTCTCCTGTTTTCGGGATTTGCATCCCCTTCCATGTTGCCATGCCATGATCTTGTAGATAAAATACAAAGCCCAAACCAACGCCAAGCGCCTTGCAATGAATCAGAGACGAAGAATAGTCGAGAAAGAAGCCATATGTCTTAGCTAAAAGGCTATATATGTCTTCCTCATGACGCTTCAAACTTCCGTTTGACACCATTCGCATTCGCGGACGGTGGCATAGCTTGGGCTCTCCTTTTTTCTCCTCGTCCCCGGCAGCCATGCTGTGCTGGCGCTGCTTCCAAGCTGTTTTGATGATGGGAGCAAGGCGGATGAGATCGTCTTCGGTGACGCGGTCCTCGATACTTTCAAGAACCTTTTCAACAGTGGAGATGTGGTTTGCATCGTTCTTGTCATCACGAATACGATGGAAGCGCCAGCGTCCTTCCGTATCTTTGGCACACTCAACGATAGTGTCATCAAGAGGAACGCGCAGGGCTTTGAGATCTTCCCACTCCTTCGGCTCAAGGAACATCTCTCCAAAAAGACGGTACTCGCCAGCATTGAGCATGACGAACAGGTGGCAAGTCGGGATAGCGTCGTAGTCCACGTAGGGCTGGGTGATACCCTCAGCCTCGTCCTCAGTATCTGGCTCGAGCGTGGGAAACTCAAGACGCATACGGAAATCAACGGTGTTCTCTTGGGGCGGCTTCCATTTGAGGATGTGCTCGTCGGTGCCGATGCGGTACGGAGTACTGCGGCAAGTAAAGATGAGACCGTCATTACCATGAATGCGCTTGACCTTGGGGATAATTTCGCGGAACATCATCTCAATACCGTAACTGAATTGCGTCGATTTGTCCTCGACTG